TGGAAAACGAGCTTATATTTCTTTGTGAAGGCTTAAAAGATCGTAGGTCATAAAAAGTAAGGACAGGTTTGACCACATGTTATTGTGTTATTGTACATTTTTCCTTTACCAGAAACCACAAACATCAGTAGAACCCTTGGTTTTATCACCATAGAAACGAAGCAGGCCTTTGTCACCGGATGAAGTTCACGTCCCTTCAGTTCAGTTCCGGTAGAAATAGTGTGCATCAAGTGAAGTCTGCTTGCAAATTCATTTGGACGAACTTCTCGGCCAACTTATCCTGTAAAATGTCCCGAGGCTCGAGTGCAGGGTTTGATCGACACATTACCATCTTCTCTCCTGAGGGCAGACTCTATCAAGTCGGTCAGTATGGGGATCTGTTTACACAAAAAGCCGGTTCGCTGGCTTACTTGTTTGCTAGCTAGCTAAATGCTCTGTCATGGTTCGCTTAGCCGAGGTTATAGTTGATAAAAAGCGACCCGCCAAATCGAAAGTAGTATGATATGTGATCACCACAGTCTTACTAATCCTGTGCGAGTTGTTATTATGGGGCTCCTTTTACGACGCTACTATCAAACTAAACACAGGGGATCAAAATAGCTAGCTGGCTGTTCGGCTAGTTAGCATAGTTAGCATTGCAGCCAAGCAAGCTGATTCATTGCTGAATGAATCAACGTGTTATTCAGTTAAATATATTGGCTAAATAAAGTATTTTTTGTGACTGCACTACATTTAGCTTTTTTGCAATTTTTCTTAGTCACAGGAATATTATTTTGTCTGAGAGCTGCTAGTTGGATGGATTGAAAGAGATAAGATAACATTTAATATTGTAAATTAGCGGTTTTTCCTCTAATAAAGCTGAACTGAACATAGTCATGAATTTTGTTGCTGTCTTCTAATCAGCAGTCATTCTACAGATGCCCAAGCACCTGCAGCAACAGTTAAAATCAAGTCAAAGGTTTGCAAATTTACTCAAAGTGAAGGGTTTTAAATGACACTATTTTACTACTACTGCTTTGGATGTAATGTTTGAAGCCAGACTACACAGAATTGGTACATAATTCGCTGTCAGCTGCTCAACCAAAGGACATCTGATAATAGTTCTTCACTTGTGGCTCCAATTTTCCAGCCGAACAAAACAGCTCTCTGTGACTGTTAACCACAAATCCTAATGCTCGCAGCCATTGTCAAGCAAACGTGTGCTTAAAGACACCCTCTTTGTTTTTCTTTTGCAGAATATGCTTTCAAGGCCATAAACCAAGGTGGGCTCACGTCAGTAGCAGTCAGGGGAAAGGATTGTGCAGTTGTTGTAACACAGAAAAAAGTACCGGTGAGTTGATGTCAGATTGCTTGTTGTTATTTTCTTACAGCCATAACAGTAGCCGTGTTATGAGAAGGGCTATAGATGTTCTGAAATTTGGAGTAGTAGAACAGATGAATAAATAATGCAACCGTCCCTCCATCCATCCATGCTGATTCTACTGCTTTCTGTGCTGAGGTTGCGTGGCTTTTCTCCTGTTACTCCAGCTTCCTCCCACAGTTCAAAGACCAGCATGCATTAGGTTCGTTGGTGATTCTAATTTGGCCTTGGTTGTGAGAGTGAGTGTGAATGCTTGTTTGTCTTTCTGCGGTGAGCCCATGACAGACTAACAACCTGTCAACGGTATACCCAGGCTCCCAAAACAGTCTCATATTCATAATTCTGGGATAATGAGGAAAGTGACCCTCTTTGCACAAAAATATGGTCCAAGTAGTTGAACTGTTCCTAAGGCTCTTCGTCGCCCAATCTTTAAACATTTACCCAGCACAAAGTTGATGTCACACAGCAGGTAAACATCAGCATCTACCATGTGTAAATGCCACAGATGTTTGGCTGGTATATCTGTGCATCCTAAGAATTAACCGTTAAA